GGGTGGAAGCCCCAATTCTTCTTCCTTGGGGGCAACTTCAATACCCACCCGCTCGACGGTGAGCGTCCACTCGGGACTCAGATAGTGTTAAACAAATACTGTAGGTTTTCTTCCTATAGAACTCTCGTAACCTCCTTCTATACGTGGCCATCTCACATGAATCACTCTTTGTACAGGTGAAGTTGTCAATCGACCAAGGCTCTCTTCCACCGCGCTAAACCACGTCACGCGTATTCTAGCCCTCGACGACTCCCAGAGGAGCTCCGCTGCGCTCAACATACCTGAGAACTGTCTACTCTACGGGTTGTCAGTTATCCTCGAGCCTCCGCGCGAGCTTGTTGTCCCGCATGCGGACCTCCTTAGGGGTAAGTTGAGCCTTATTTCCTCTAGCCTTTCAATGGAAGGGAAGGAAGTAGTCGAGAGATTCTTGAGGCTAATTTTTCTTCGTTGTGCAACAGTACCTTCTGATATGTGGTACATGGTTCCCCCCAAGCCGAGGAAGAGAGGTGGGGACGCCACCTCCAAGTCGACGAGCCAACCGGAGGTTTCGGTCGAGCTGACTCCCAGCGCTGCCGAGGTCTAATCTCGGGGGAGGTTCGTGATCACCCCCGGCACCAAAAGGCCCAGGACAGAGGAGTCACTGGGCACCCCATCAGTCGAGGGATCCTCCCGACAGCGTCGACACCAACACAAAGGGAAAAACATCGGGGTGGCCGCAAATCTGGGGGTCCCTCCTGCACCAGAGGGATCCCTCGCGATGCCAGGGTCGAATATCAACGACCCCAAGTTCTTGGTCTCAGATGTGGTCGACCACGACCTTAACCGGGCTCTGCGCCTCCCCCTCGATTCAGCCTTCCCATCGAGGCCATCTACTCGCATTTTCACATGGACTCCTGGAACAAGTTTGTAGGGATGGACCTCCTGGATCGCCAACACGTAGCGGTGATTCACCAAGTCTCGGTAAATCATATTCACTTCTCGACCTTGTCCCTCTCATTACTGGCTTGCACTAATTTGTGCCATTGTTTTTCTCATTTCCCAGGCTCTCGAGGCTATGCTTCTAAACTACGTGGAGCTCGAAGCTCTGCTGGAGAAGGGTGTGCCGTCGAGGGCCATAGAGGAAGAAATCTTCACACTGGAAGCTGTTCAGGCTGAGCTATCCTCAGAGGTAGACGCCGAGAAGGCTAAAGTCAAGTCCCTGAAGGAGGCGATGGACAAGGCCAAGCGCGAACGCTTTGCGGAGGGCTGCTCTAAGGGAGTCGAGGCATTCCTTGTCTCACCTATCTTTCAGTAGAAGAGGAAGGAGGCAATAGAGGAGTTCTTGGGATCTGAGGAATTCAGCCGCTCGGTCGATGCCTGGATCGAGGCTTTTAAGTCGTCGCAGGAGTTCAAGGGTATGGTCGAGCAGGGGGTCGAACACTTCAAGTCCTTAGAGGCTTTTGAGGACCTAGTTTCCTAGTGGCTCAAAGCGTACCAAGACTCTGTTGAGTTCGAGGAGCTTCAGCTTAATATAATGAAATCAGCTAGGGAGCAGATTCTCGACCGCTTCTGAAGAAAGTGCCCAGATGTCAACCTGGCCTTCCTCGATGAGTCTGACGACGAGGAGGTCATGGTGCTCGAGAATGCGCCGGGCGCCGAGGGATCTGAGTAAATGGCGAGGGATGAAGCAACAGAACAGGCGCCGGGGGATGGGGCTACGCCATGACTACCTTTCTTTCTTTCTATGTATAATTCTTATGAGGGCCATTGGGCCGAGACATTTGATTTTTGTTTTGTAATGGCCATACGGTCAAGACTCCCTTTATTTATTTATATATAAACCTTTTCTCCTTACTAATACTTGCTTTGTGTATGGATGCCGTAGAAATACTTGAATGTTTTTGAAAATTTCTTTTATTAAGTATGGTCAGCAAGGACTTACCAAACTTTGCTGCCTTTACCGGCCTTGGGGCTGCCCTATATGGCTTTACTACCCCCTCGTCGAAGATAGTCTTCAACTTTTCTTCGACGCACGATCGATCGACGTATAATGGTCGATGTAGACAGTAGATTCTCATATATGTAGATTGTGGTCGGGCATTGAAATTCACACAAGTTAACCAAAATAAGTAGAAAATTTAGACAAACTTTTATTCTCATGGAATTTACACGTCGACTTTTCAGTCTGCAAAAATACACCAGAAAAACGGAAAAAAATCTCTAAGTGTAACCCTTAGGTCGACCATTATCGGTGCTATTGGTAGTAGATTTTTAGTTGGTCGGCATTTTTTTCGGCATTCCAAGTGTGCTTGATGTCTCGACCGTTGACTTCAGCGAGCCGGTTGTTGGTTCCTGAATCGAATTCGGGTGCGGAAGTGTGGCGGGGAGGCGGATCGTGTATAATAAAAATTTCAGAAAAACTTTTGAGATACTCTATAGATTATATTAATTTATGCACGAATAAATTAATCGCATTAATTTACATCAAGAACTCAATCCGAAAAAATACCTGTAAGCCGACTCGGATGATAACTTGACTTCTTTGTCCACGAACAGTCCTTACTCCAATCTTTGTGTTTAGAAAACCAAAGGCTTCCACGTCAATTCCTTGATTCTACGTAGATGTGTGTGTGGGCACACGTGAGACAAAATAGGTTTCGTAAACACTCAAATTTTCACAAACACCAACGCATGCGCGATGTGGAATTTTTGGAGAAAAAATTTTGCTATTTTTTTTTGCTATTGAGAAATTCGCTAATCCAATTAGGGCTGAATTATGTTTCAAAAATTGTCTTTACAATTTTCTATCATTCTCATATTTAAAGAGTAGAAGTCAAACTTCAAAACAGAATCAAATCCCTATCTCCAATTTTGAATTTGGAACAGAAAATCCCTTCCCCTTATCTCCAATGTCGCCGGCCACCCTAGGGTTTTCTAACCCTGTGTGTGGCGCCAATTCTGATAGGGAAGGAAGAGAAAAAAATCATCCTATATCCTGTAGTCCAATTTTGACTCAAATTCAAATTCCAATTTAAGTCAAACTTAAATTAATTTGAATTCTAAATTGAACAACTTATCAAATAAGTTTAAATGGATAAATATAGATGTGTTCAAATTCAAATTTAAATAATCACATTATTTAAATAATAATTAATTCTTAATTAATTATTTTTCGAGTATTTAATTTTAGAATTCCGTAATTCTAAAATTCCCATTTTTGCCCTTTGTGTCTGGTAGAATTACAAGGACGACGCGGGGACATATGGACCTATAATCCCGAGCTCCAATAAAATTAATAATTAATTAAACACTTTAATTAATTAATTAATTCTATTAATTCCAATAGTTACTCCACTATAAACTTGGAATTGTTGAGTACCATTGATTCTTTAATGGATAGTGATTCATAAAACACATTCATGAACCAGAGCGCTCTTACTAATTTAAGTACCGAATTAACACTCAAGAGAATTATTTATCTACTTCTTTCTCAAGAAGGAATGGATTCCATCTCGTACAATAACATTCCCAGCTACCTATTTCATTATGTCTCCAAAATACAAGGAATAGGATTCAGGGTCTCGGAATCCGTAACGAGTAAATCAAAAGACATAAATCCATAAATAGGAGTTTGTTAAGAACTCATGATTAAGATCATCCTATATATGACCATCGGTAGACTCAATTAGAATTTTTATGCTTAACGGAAATTATTAGAAATTCATATTATGTTTGTGTCCTTGTTCCACATAATCTTATTATGTAAAATACACTCATTCAATATCTCGCTATATTAACAGTGCGGATAACACCGTTCCATTCTAAATGGGAATGACATGTATTCATAATGTTTTAATTAAAGATTTCAAACTTTAATTAAATTCATCATGAACAATGTTTTTTATTATTATCCTTAAACACTATCCTCTCGTATATAACACTTATATACTATGTTTAAGGTTACATAAACAATCACGGAATTTTCATTTGATATTCATAAAATATTCATAAATATATGCACATAAAATGATGAATAAACTCTTTTATTAATTAAATAATAAATATCCTATTACATCTCATGCTTCTAGGACACTATTCCCAACACCGGTAGGATCCATTAGCCACAACCTCCTTTATCTTGTAAGGCCATTCCTAAGTCGGGCCCAGTACTCCAGAATTTTTGGGCTTAGTATTTGGGGTTACTGTTCGCAAGACGAGGTCTCCCACTTTAAACCGTTTATGTTTGACGTTTCGGTTATAGTACCTGGCTGTTCTGGCTTGGTACGAGGTGAGCCTTAGTTGCGCGTCTGTGCACCTTTCTTGCAGAAGGTCAAGCTCTAGGTCCATTCGTTCAGCGTTCTTATCTTCCTCGTACCGTATCACTCGGCTGGTGGGGATGGATATCTCGACTGGGAGGACTGCTTCCACACCATACGCCATTGAAAATGGTGTTTCCCCTGTGGTCGTCCTACTGGTCGTTCTGTAGGCCCACAAGACCGTTCGTAACTCATTTGCCCACTTACCTTTGTAGTTATCGAGTCGACGCTTCAACGTGACTTTGATGATTTTATTGACCGCCTCGACCTGTCCATTGGATTGGGGATACACAACAGAGGAGAAGTTCTTATGGATGCCTAGCAGTTCGCAAAACTGGTTGGTGTTGTCATTGTTGAACTGCTTCCCGTTATCTGATACGAGGGAATGTGGTACACTAAACCGACAAACTATGTTGTTCCATATAAAGTTTGTACATTTCTCATCTGATATGGTCGTTAGAGGCTCGGCTTCAACCTACTTTGTGAAGTAGTCGACCGCTACAATCGCGTATGTGTATCCGCCGGGGGTCTTGTGCAATGGGCCGATGAGATCAATCCCCCACTTCGCAAATGGCCAAGGGGAAACTATTGACGTTAGATCTTCAGAATGCTGCCGGGGGATGGGGGCGTACCTTTGGCAGCCTTCACATTTCTTCGCATACTCGGCTGTATCCTTCTTGAGGTTAGGCCAATAGTATCCCTGCCTCAGCACCTTATAAGCCAGGGACTGCCCCCCTGCGTGGTTTTCACATATCCCATCGTGTATCTCCGAGAGCACTTTTTTGCTTCCTCGTCATCGAGACACCGGAACAAGGGCGTCGAGAACCCCTTCCGATATAGGACATTGTCATGCATGGTGTATCTCGATGCTTGGTACCTCAACCTTTTTGCCATTTGCTTGTCCTCTTGGAGCTCACCGTTGAGCAAATATTTGACAATTGGGTCGTTCCAGCTCAACTGGTGGCTCAGGGAGAGGACTTCAGGCTTCCCCTTCGTGGAGGGAGTTTTCAAAACTTCCACGGGTACTAGCCTGAGCAACTCGGCGTCTTTTGAGGTGGCTAATCTAGCAAGGGCGTCGGCGTTGCTATTCTCTGCCATTGGCACTTGTTGTATGTCATAGGCTGAGAGCTTCTCTAAGGCCTCTTTTACCTTTTCGAGATAGGCAGCCATTTTCTCATCTCTGGTTTGATATTGGCCTTTCACTTGGTTCACGACTAACTGTGAATCGCTGAAGATGTCTATGGCCTCTACTTTTAGGTGCTCTGCCAACCTGAGCCCTGCCAGCAACACCTCGTACTCTGCCTCGTTGTTGGATGCTGAGAACTCAAATCTAACGGCCGAGGTTATCTTGTGGCTTTCTGGGGTGTGCAACACCAACCCTGCGCCACTGCCGTTGTCATTTGAGCTCCCGTCGACATAGAGCTTCCAACGGGGGGGGGAAGGGGGTCCGGGGGGGGGGGGGGGGGGGGGTCCATCAACCGCCCCCGCTTCATTTGGAAATCCTGTGAACTCGGCAAAGAAGTCGGCCAAGGCTTGGCCCTTAATGGCCACCCGCGGCTTGTAGTCGATGTTGAACTGGCTAAGTTCTATGGACCATTTGAGAAGTCTCCCAGAAGCATCGGGTTTTTGCAATACCTGCCGGAGGGGGTGATTTGTCAAGCCCTGAATACTGTGAGCCTGGAAGTAGTGGCACAATTTCCTCGACGTGATTACTAACGCGAGAGTGAGCTTTTCCATATGCGGATATCTTGTCTCGGCATCGAGAAGGTGCTTGGTGGTGTAATACACAGCCAGTTGCACCTTTTCCTCTTCGCAGACCAACACTGAACTAACGGCGTGTTCAGAAACCGCCAGGTACATGCTCATCACCTCTCCCTCCATAGGCTTGGACAGTAGGGGCGGCTTCCCGAGGTGTTCCTTCAACCGCTGGAACGCGTGCTCGCACTCCTCTATCTACTAAAACGGCTTGCTCCCTCTCAGGGTGTCGAAGAACGGTATGCACTTATCTGTAGATTTTGAAATAAACCTGTTGAGTGCAGCTATGCAACCCGTTAACTTCTGGATTCCTTCGGCTTCCGCGGCGATTTCATGTCAAGGAGCACTTGTACCTTCTCTGGATTAGCTTCGATCCCTCGACTGCTTACCATGAAACCTAGGAATTTTCTTGACTTAACTCCGAACGCACACTTGAGGGGGTTCAACTTCATCTTGTACTTTCGCAGTACGTCGAACATGCCCCTGAGGTCTTCCACATGACCATTAGACCTCCTGCTCTTTACCAGCATGTCATCCACGTACACCTTTATGGTCTTACCTATTTGGTCCGCGAACATCTTATTGACCAGGCGCTGGTACGTTGCTCCTGCATTTTTAAGGCCAAATGGCATGACCTTGTAGCAATACATGCCTCTGTCAATGATGAAAGACATGTGTTCCTCATCACGGTGGAACATTAGTATATGGTTGTAGCCAGAATAGGCGTCCATAAAACTGAGAAACTCAAGCCCGGCTGTGGCGTCGACCAACTGATCTATCCTGGGGAGTGGGAAGCTATCCTTTGGGCAGGCTTTGTTTAGGTCACTGAAGTCGACACAAGTCTGCCATTTCTCGTTAGGCTTTAATACCAGCACTGGATTTGATACCCACTCGGGGTATAGGACTTCCCGGATGAAATCGTTCTTTATTAGCCTGTCGACCTCCTCCCGCAGAGCTGTATACCTCTCAGCATTCATCGGTCGACGCTTTTGTCTTTTGGGGGGATACTTTTCATCTATATTGAGCCTGTGGCTCATTACGTCCGGGCTGATTCCTTTCATGTCTTCGTGGGTCCAGGCAAACACGTCGAGGTTACCCCTGAGAAATGCTATCAATTCTTCCCGGTTATGCTCCTCTAATTCTGAGCCTATCCTCAATTTTCTTGTGGGCTCCTCTTTGTCAAAGGGACCTCTACCAATTCCTCGATTGGCCTCGTCCCCGTTTCTCCGTCTGACAGTCGAGGGTCTAGGTCGACCTCTTCCGCTCTGGTTGTCACCATCCTCATCTCTCTTCTGGTCGGTCCTGGCTCTGCGTAGTGGCGCACCGTTTTTGTATACGTAAGCCTGGACTCGTATTGGTTTCCTCTGACCCTTCTGACTCCACTAGGGGTTAGAAACTTCATTGTCTGGTGGTAGATAAACGTGACTGCTTTAAGCGTCCTTAATGTCAGTCGCCCTACGATCGTGTTGTATTGGTCGCCTCCTTTTATCACCAAGAGCCGTGACATTACGATCGAGGTGTGTGGTCGGTCGCCAATTATTATTGGCAATTCTATCATCCCTTCGGGGACGACGCAATCCCCTGTAAACCCATATAGTGGTTGTGGGCTATTTTGCAGTCTAGCCCGAGGGATTCCCATCTTGTCGAGGCAATCGGCGTACAACATATCTACCGAGCTGCCGTTGTCTACTAGGATGCGGTAGACCGTATAGTTGCCAATCATTGAGCGTCGTTATGGGGGAAATACACCTTATTCGCGTCCGCTTCAGAAAATGTTATTTCGGTCTCTTCAAACCTCGCGGCCTTCGACTCCCTACCGGACACACTTATAATCCTCCGGTTGAATTTTTCCTTAGCCTCTCTCACGTATCCTTTCTGTGCGCAGTGAGAGGTGCCGCCGAAGTATGGCCCTCCGAAGATCATCCTGATCACGCCGACGGGCTCGGGAGGTTGATCCTGTGTTTGATCCTCCCGACGGTCGTTGTTTCTCCGATTATGGTTGCCCTATCGGTCGGCCTGGTATTCATTGAGCCTCCCTTCACGGATCAACCTCCCGACCTCATCCCTTAGGTCGAAACACTCGCTGGTCGTGTGTCCGCTCTCGCTGTGAAACCTACAATAGTTGTTTTGGTTTCTTCGCGCTGGATTGAACTTTAACGGCGGCGGTCGATGCAACACTTAGAGGTGGCTGATCTCATGATAGACATCCTTAATCCCCATGGTTGGTGGGGTGTAGGCGTCATACTTTTGTGGCTTGGCCCGCTTGGTGTCTCCCTGCCCCGTCGAGGCGTTAATGCCCCTGTTGTTTGGGGCCGGGTTGTACCTTGGCTCAGCCTGCACCTAAGGGTTACCTCAGCGCTTCTTCCCGTTGCTTTGTTGGCTTGGCTGTCCCACCTCTTCTTTGGTGGGAACCACAATTTTGCTCTTTAGGGCCTTTTTGGCCTCTTCTACATTAATGAATCCCTGGGCCCTGGCCAGGAACTCTTGATAGGTTTGGGGTGGTCTCCGGTCGAGGTCCGTGTCGTACGGGATGTCCTTCTTCATGCTTGACAAGGCCCCCATTAGGGCTACCTTGTCGGAGATCCCTTCAGTGGCAGCCACCTGCTCCCCAAAGCGGGCTATCCAATCTTTTAGGGACTCGTTCGGTCCCTGATACACCCTCGAGAGGTTCAATTTTGGGGGGATGTACTTCTTGACACCTATGAACTGAGTCAGGAAGGCGTTCTTCAAGTTATCCCAACTGGTTATTGTGTTCAGTTTTAAAGACCTGGACCATCGCCTGGCAGAGTCAGACAGGTGATTTCTGAACGCGTGGCCTAAGACCTCTTCGGGGTACCCGTGTAGGACCATGTGCCCCGTGTAGACTTCCAGGTGGTCGTCTGGGTCACTTCTTCCGTCGTACAATGGGATTGGTGGCGGCTTATATTTATCGGGCAACGGTACCCGAATGATGTTCTCTGTGAAGGGGTGGTCGTGAGACGTATACATCTTGGCGTCGACATTTACAACTTCGGCCACCTTTCCTACGACTTGTTCAAAGTTGTTCAGCCGACTCCCTATCTGCTTTTCCAATTTAGCCATTTTCTCGGCCAGGGCTTTATTTTCGGCCACAAGCTCTTCTTCCTTGGACTGTTGCGTGTCTCGCTCACGTCGAGCGTTCAGCCGTTCCCTCAGGTCTTCCCCGCGTACGGACGACGATTCTACTGGGATCACGTCCCTCCTTTTCATGTGGTCAGGTTCCTCGACGCTCATCAGCGCAGATGGCTTTCTCGACGTTTGAAGGGCACCCTGGACTCACCACCTTTCTCGGTGTCAGCTACCGGTATTCTACGAGGAGTTCTTGGCGCTTAACACCCGGTGGAGTGGGCGATCCTTCGACCGTGGTGTAACATTTGGAACCAATTTCAAAAATGTTTTTCATGAATCAAAAAATGAAAATGCTCTGAGATACGCATTTGGGACTGCATCATACGAAAAGTAAAATTGAAAATGTTTTCTAATTGTTCCCAAAAATACCGAGAATCTAAAAACGATCCATAATCATTTTCCTTTTCCCCCATCTCAATCCTTCTATTTTCTTTTCTCGACCCCCCTCTTCTCCGATCTGCATCGACTCCCCATCTTCTCTGTTATAAGCCTTGGGTTGTAGGTGGAATCGCGAAAGGTTTTCTCCTCCCTCTTTCCTTATACTCGACGGGCTTCTCTCCTTAGTCTCCCTCTTTTCCGGTCACCCACTTTCTAAACGGCGGGCTTCTCACTCTTTTTAAACGATGGTGAAAATCGGTGGAATTGCAAGAAGGTCGAGGAGGTATTTTGAGAAGATCTCAGATTTTGTGGTTAGGATTTTTGAGGTAATCATCTACTCTACACCGCCCTTACTCCCCCAAATCAACTGAGGTATGCCCATTAATCTGGTGATTTAAGTGTTTAAGTTGGTTTTATTTATGATTTTCTGATGATTTGTGGGATTTAGGCCGGTTGTGTTTAAAATTCTGAGGACCAAAAAATGAGAAAATATGCTGATTCGCGGGATTTGCGTTGTGGGTTTTTCTTTGCTATTTGCTGAAATCTGATCACGTTCATATTTGTTTTTGTGGAGATTGTTATTTGCTGTTTGCGATAGTGCTTAAACCTTAAGGCATATTAAATAATGTTTGTTTTCTTAGGAATTATTCAAACTCTCTAATTTGTTAATGTTAATGTTCTGTGTTTTTACTTGTTGTTTGCTGATATTGAACTTTGGGCAAATTTAGTTGAGGATAATCCTTAGTCTGAAATTTGCAAATTTCGGTTTTGTGGCCAATCCCACAAACGCAAAGAGAGAAACCAAAGAAAAACAGAATTAGAACGAACCATAACCATCAATCCTCATAACTCATTTATGTATGGCATGTTCAATAGCAAACTGTAACTGTAATTTTTGTCAAACATTCCCCCGTTCGTTGATTGATGAAAACCTCCAATAGTTCTTGATAATGTTCAACTTCAATCCTAAAAGATAGAAAACGTTTATAATTCATTGGTTGAATTCTGATGATGTCTTTCTTTTCTTGTTTACATTTATGAATAGTTTATATCAGTTTTATATTTTGTGGTAATTCTGTTGTGTTGATGAATATTGTATTCAAAATGTTTGGTTGTTGTGAAACTGGAAAAAAGTTTTAAAAATAAAAAGAAAAAAAAGTACTGTCAGTTGTTCTTTATTCGGTAGGGTAAAAATTTATTCTTATCCATAGATTGTGATTTATTTTAATGATGAATGAAAATGTTATTTTAGATGTGTGATAAGGACGATAATACAAAATGACCGACTTCAATTGAGGATTTTTATGTAGAACTGATATATGAAGAGTGAAAGAATGGGTTGCATTCAACCACTTTGGACAAACAAATGTGGATGAAAATAGAGAATGAAATAGTATGTAAGTTTGGCAAGCATTTCACATTGGACAAGCTTAAAGCAAAGTGGAAGAGGTTTAGACATAGTACAAGAGAGTTTCAGGCATTGATTGAAACAACCGGGTTTGGTTGGGATTCTGAGGTTAACAATGTCATGGCTGAACAAGAAGTGTGGGATTCTTATGTGGCGGTAAGTGTTGATCATCACCATGTTATGAGATATGAAA